AAAAAAAAAAAAAAAAAAAAAAAGGGCTTTCTTTCCCTTTGCCTAGAATGTCCCAAGAATCTTCAGGATATACATTCAGGTGTTGATGGTTATTAATAATTTTTAGACATTTTTGTTTTAAGAAAAAATAATAATGAAGAACTATTATAGGCTAATTGTATCCACTTCTTAAAGAATTTACAGTGGTGTGCTTTTTATGACTGTGCCTCTACAAAGTCTAGGAAGAGCGCTCACTTTATAATCCAATTCATTTTTTGACTCCTGAACAGCAAGAGAGATGGCTGGAACCTGCGTGCCCTGTAACACAGCTTGCTGGATGACTTGGGGCTGGAATGTAAACTTTCTGGGACTTAGTGCCTTACTTACAAAACAATAGAGTTGACTATCTCTCTGGGGTCTCTTCCAGGATCGGAAGTTGTTGTGCTGTGAATATCAAAGGTTGGCTGTTCTAAATATGTCTTGTTCCTAAAGGACAACTTCTTTAAAAAAAATTTTTTTTAGATGGGGGGGTCTCAGTATATTGCCCAGGCTGGTCTTGAACTTGGTGGCTCAAGCCATCCCCCTGTCTTAACCTCACAAGTAACTACTTGGCATCCACCACTATAGGCATATGCCACTGTGCCCTGCTGACTTTAAAAAATTTTCTTTTAGAGAGGGTCTTGCTATATTGCCTTGGCTGTTTAAAGTATAGTTTAAAGCTGTGGCTATTAACCAGGGACATTTCCATCTCTTACAGGATATCTGGGAAGTTTGTAGACATGTTTTTGGTCGCCACCATGATGGGCAGTTTTGCAATCTATAAATTCCATTTCATTTCAGAAGAGTAGAAGGGGCACGGGTCTAACAGGGCTGAAAAACACTGCTTTAAAGGGTAGCTGATGATAACAGTAATAGCTGTATTATGAAAATATTAGGACAGTATTAAGTTGCTAGGTTTTGGTTTGGAGAATACAGGAAGAAGGAGTGCTAAGCATTCCCTGACCTGTGTTTCAGCATGACACTAAAATGAGCTAGAGAGAGAAAACAGGACCAGAGGCTGCGGAAGGGGTTGTCTGTCAACACGGTTTAGAAAACACCTGGTTGAGGCCCCTCGCTCCTGGCTAATTCTCGCTGTCTTGTACCAAGGATGTCCTCTGGTGGCTCTGAGATGTGCAGGGTTGGCTGGCTTTCTGCTGGCTGCGTGACCTCTATTTGTTTATGCTGGTTGCAGAATTGTGTGTCACAGGACATCTTCCTTGGCCAGCACATTCCTCCACACCCTTGGGACATGACTTGGGGAGGTATCTGCAGATAGTCTCCATAAAGAAAGCCTGTTTCATCAAGCTGGCTGCCTTTAAACTATTTGGCAATACTGTGGGAGCCTCTGATGATTGTGACAGCAGCTCAGTCAGATTTTTTCCCAGAGTGTGATATTACCAACAACAATAATATTTAAAGTAGTATTTTTTCTCAACATGATGGGAAAGAAAATGGTAATCATGGGTTTTATTAGCACATAACATGCACCAGGCACTGTGTTAAGTGCTTTAATGCTTGCAAGAACACCACGAGGCAGGGTTCCTTAATTTTTATGTGGAAAAGGCTGAAAGAGTTAAGTTACCTGCCAAAGGTCCCACAGCTACTAAGTGGTCAAGACAGGATTTGAACACACATTGGTCTCACTGGAACATCTGTGCTTTTAATACTCTCTTGCCTTCTCTAATCTGTGCCTGAATCCTAAACTGTTGGATGTAAGAGAGGTGATGCACTTTGGAAGTTTATGATTATGTGTTCATTCAATTCAAAAAGACCAAATCTCAGGCCGGGCGAGGTGGCTCACATCTGTCAGCCCAGCACTTTGGGAGGCCGAGGTGTGCAGATCACCTGAGCTCACAGGTTCGAGACCAGCCTGAGCTACAGCGAGATCCCATCTCTAAAAAGAGCTGGGCATTGTGGTGGCTGCTTGTAGTCCCAGCTACTAGGGAGGCCGAGACAAGAGAATTGCTTGAGCCCAAGAGTTAGAGGTTGCTGTGAGCTATGACACCAGAGCACCCTACTGAGTGTGACAAAGTGAGACTCTGTCTCCAAACAAAAAACAAAACCCCCAAGCCCCCCAAAGACCAAATCTCTTGGCATGGGTTACAGAACCTCAAACCAAGTGAGAGAGTTATTGTAGGTCCCCAGGGGCCCAGGCATGATGGCTGTGGGCAGGCAGCCCTTATTTCATCCAGTAGCTGAAGAACACCAGCCAAGGCTGGGAGAAAAACACGAGTCTCCCGAGGATTTGCTGCCTGGATCCCTTCCCAAATGTATTTTTTCCTCTGGTGAAAAGTTCAGGGTCACAACTCCTGTTCATTTAGGTCAGAAAGTCGGCAGCTTGATCAATGATTTCCTGTTCCTTGAAGATAAATAGCTTTCCTATTTAAGAGATAAATTTTTATTTTGAAAGTTCAGTACCCTTTGATTTCTTTATAATGGATTTCATTCAAATGAGTTTCCTAGCTGTGACCTGTTCCAGGGCTTTTGGCCAAAGTAAATTGTGCTAATGGGGAATAACAGAAACTTCAGGAAAATCATGTGCTCCTAAATTTAAGTCATGGATGAGGGCTTAGAAATCATTTAGTCCAGGCTTTTTGTTTTATAGCTAAGGAAATAGGGTCCCAGGGAGAGAAGAAGGAGCGTGTCCAGGATCACGTCGCCGTTTCTGGGTCTTCCTGCTTCCTTCACTGAAGGGTGTGAGAATACTTTCAACTATTTCTGTAAGAGTCGTTACATCAAAACGCGCCAACCCAAATTCTAATGCGTACTACACCTGTGGATTTTTAATAAATATTAATACTATTAGAATTTTTTCTTTTGTTTTCTTTTTTCTTGAGACAGAGTCTCAAACTGTCACCCTGGGTAGAGTGCTGTGGCATCATAGCTCACAGCAACCGCCAACTCTTGGGGTCAAGCTATCCTCTTGCCTCAGTTTTTTCATTTTTAGTAGAGACAGAGTCTCACTTTTTGCTCAGGCTGGTCTCGAACCCATGAGCTCAAGCTATCCACCTGCCTCGGCCTCCCAGAGTGCCAGGATTATAGGCATGAGCCACCACATCAGGCCTAGAATTTTTTCTTAAATCTTACAGTTTTGTGGGCAGCACCCATAGCTCAGTGGGTAGGGCACTGGCCACATATACCAAGGCTGGCGGGTTTGAATCTTGCCGAGGCCAGCTAAAATCAACAAAGACAACTGCAACAAAAAAATAGCCGGGCATTGTAGCAGGCGCCTGTAGTCCCAGCTACTTGGGAGACTGAGGCAAGAGAATTGCTTAAGCCCCAGAGTTTGAGGTTGCTGTGAGCTGTGACACCACAGCTCTCTATCAGAAAACAAAACAAAAAACCAAACCAACAAAAAATAAAAACAAAAAGGACTTATAGTTTTGTGTACTGGACACACAGGATATTTTGTAAACTAGGAAGTTTTGTTTTGTTAATAGTCTCTTTTTTCTTGTGAAAGTCATATGTGTTCACTTTGTAGAACAAAGGTTGGCAAACTGTGTCCCATGGGACAAATGGGTCCTGTTTTCACACATCAAGTGTTGCTGGCACACAGCCGAGTCCAGTCATGTACTTATTCTCCTTACTAGCAGAGTTGAGTAGCTGCAGCGGAGACCTTAAGACCTGCAAAACCTTGAGTATTTACACCTGACACTTTCCAGAAAGAGTTTGTCAAACCCTGCAGTAGAACATCTGGAAAAAAACAGAAAAATCACACTAAGAGAACAATTATCTCTATCTCACCTTCATAGACTTAGGTTGGTGCTAAGTTTAGCATTCTCCTGGCTAAATAGTTCAGAAATCTCTATTTCCTAAGGACAAATTCCTAGAAGTGGAATTCCTGAGCTAGTGAGTGAGAGTGGTTTTTAGAGCCTTGGTACTTAGCAAGTTTCTTTTCGGCTTGTACTCCTAGCAGTCCCTGTACCTTGCCATCACGAAGCAAACCAACAAACAAGAACTCCTTTGCTAACTGACTTGGTTTTGCCTTCATTGATCCAGGGGCCGGTTCAAGGCAGTGGTCTGCGTCCTGTCTGCGGTTACAACGTGCCTGGCATTTGTCAAGCCCGCCATCAACAACATCTCTCTGATGACCCTCGGAGTTCCTTGTACTGCTCTGCTCGTGGCGGAGCTAAAGAGGTGAGTGCCACTGTTTCCCCTGTGTTAGGAACACACCAGCTCTGGGCTCCTTTGCTGCCCTCGAGTGGACGAGGAATTTTATTCTTCATGAAGAGTTAGTTGTGGACTGTTGGATTGCAAGCAAGTTTGATGGTTTAGTTCAAAGTGTTACTGATCTCATTTTCAAAGCATAAGGGAGCAGTTGGTTAGGGGATGCAGTACTTCCCAGAGATCAAAAGCTAGCTTGGCAGGAGCCTCTCCGCACCTAGGCTGAGATACCCACACTCAGTTCTGTAGCCAGGAGAACAGCATTGTCTATATGAGAAGAATACAGAGAAAAGAAAAGTCCTACGGAGGTTATTGTGTTCACACACAGAAGGAAAAAGAAGAAAGAGATAGGGAAAATGAGTTTTTATAGATAAGGAAATAGTAACTTAAAGTGGACTGCTGTTGACCGTGATGTTTTCAGAGGTTTCGTGTTGCATTTACAGTCTTTCAGGTGGTCTTAGCTGTTTGCATTAGCATTTTTCTTTGGGAAGTTGTATACTCAAAGTTCAGGTTGATATCCAGAAATACTTTACTTTGGTAGCACTTGTTGGTACTCACAAATCGTACCAAGAAAATGATTATCTGTATATTAACCTGTCTTCTTCCAGCTCAAATAAAATTGTATCTAATCATGGCCCTTATTTCATTTTATTTATTTATTTATTTTTGGAGACAGAGTCTTAAGCTGTCGCGCTGGGTAGAGTGCCCTGGCGTCACAGGCCACAGCAACCTCAAACTCTTAGGCTTAAGCAATTCTCTTGCCTTAGCCTCCCAAGTAGCTGGGATCACAGATGCCCGCCACAACGCCCAGCTATTTTTGTTGTTGTTGTTGTTGTTGCAGTTGTCATTGTTGTTTAGCTGGCCTGGGCCAGGTTCCAACCCTCCAGCTTTGGCGTCTGTGGCTGGTGCCCTACCCACTGAGCTACGGGTGCCACCCAAAGGACCTCATTTTAATACTCTTTGAAACACTTCCTTTTCTTCACAGCCACTTTAAAAATGCATTTTCATTTGAGGTTTCTGTCATTGCTATGGACATTGAGTGTCTTAATAGAAGTGTTGTAATTGGCTCCGTGCCTGTGGCTCAAGTGGCTAAGACGCCAGCCACATACACCTAAGGTGGTGGGTTCAAATCCAGCCCGGGCCTGCCAAACAACAATGATGGCTGCAACCAAAAAGTAGCCAGGCATTGTGGCAGGCGCCTGTGGTCCCAGCTACTTGGGAGGCAGAGGCAGGAGACTTGCTTGAGCCTAGGAGTTGGAGGTTGCTGTGAGCTGTGATGCCACAGCACTCTACCCAGGGGAATAGCTTGAGGTTCTGTCTCAAAAAAATAAAAAAAGAAGTGTTGTAATTGAAGTTTTGTGTGATGATAGTTGCTCTATGTAAAGTGTCAAGTCAGCTTTCTCTTCCTCTGTTTTAGGAGACCTACATTTCTTTCCAATTGCTTTGCCTCTGGGGGTTGCCTTCCCTATTAGCAATAACAGATATGGTCTAAGGTGGTTGAAGTATAGTGTTTGAACTTGTCTTGCAGCCAAAGGATGTTGTCAGATCTTGTCTAGATGACTTCTTTGAGTAGTCTTCAAGGACCGAGGATGTAAGAGACTTTTTTCAGAAATAGACTGAAGTTGGTTCTAGAAGAATAACTATGGCAGAAAGTCCTTTAAGTAAAAAAGCTGGTAGTTGTATAAATAACAAAAGGTCTAATCCTTACTCTCTAATAACCTTAATTTTAAGAATTAGCTTTCTCCGTCACCACTGGTATTACTTGTTAGAGCCTAAGGGTTCTTAGCAGCCTCAAATTTGCCTACTCATTTGTTTACTCACTTGACAAGTGTTTGCTGACTTCTTCCTAAGTGCCAGCCCCCAGGGCTCTTGATGGGAGACTCAGACTTGTCAGAACTACCTTGGAAGTGCCTTTGTGAGTACAAGTGTAGCTCTGCCTATGCAAAGATTTCGATTTTGAAGGTCTAGGACAGAAGCCTGGGCATCTGTAAATTTAAAAAGTTTGAAAATCTGGTTGCCGGTGGGTGGGTGAGAGTAGGGTCAGAGCAGGGATGTACAGAGGCTCTGGGGGGAACAGGGGAATGATGCTCATAGGTAAGGGCTGCTTTTTGGGGTGTTGGGAAAACTAAAGTGAGATTATGGTAATGGTTGAACTTCTTGGAATACACTACAACACACTGAGCTGAGTACTGAAGCCAGAAACCAGGCTTCCTCTTCCTTTCCCTGAATATCTTCCTGACCTCAGTCATCTTTCTACCAGTTGACATTGCAACTGAGATATCTTTGACATGCTCTTTCTGTCCCGGCAGGCTGGTCTCTCCCACATGCAGTTCCCCTTGCGTTCCGACTTCAGCCCCTCTGACCTTCTGTGTCTCCATAAGTCCTTGCCCCTGGCAGCCCCAGGCGCTTGTTCATGCCATCCCCTCTTTCTGACCCTTCTGCTTGGCTAACTCTGCTCCTCCATATGTCCTCCTAGCACCCTGAACTTCTTCCTGGTGCCCGTCCTCATCCTATTTAGAAAATCATTGTGTTGCTGTTTTGTCCAGCGTCTGTCCTAGACTCCACACAGGCAGCGAAGAGGTCTCTTTGTTCACTGCTACGTCCAGTTCCCACCCTGGGGCCTGCCAAGGAAAAGAAAAGATGGCCGTTTCCCTGCTTTGATAAATGCCCAGACAAGAGGATGGCCTTATCACTGTCTGCATTTCCTTCAGGACCTCCCCTGTCCTAGTCAGCTGTGCTCTGTTATGTTTGAACATCTGTGTTGTTTCCCACCGAGCCTCCCTTGGCTCGCAGGAAATAGAGGAAGGACTGTTTTTTAGCTTTCTGTTTCTCTTCAGCTTTCGTTCCTAAAGCTTGTTTCTAGCCTTTTCCTACGTTCATTGCGCTTTCTGAACCTTCCCTCAGGCCATGAGAAAACAAAAGTTTATTCTGATTTGGGGTCATGACCTGACATTTACTGAAATTGGTGGTGTTAAGTCACGTTGCCAACTGACTCCGCTGCATTGAAAATATTCGAAGGAATACTTTTTTCTAATTATGGGAGAGATTTTATTGTTGAGAAATCTTTGAGAATACATATACTCCGTAGTCAAGAAGAGAAGAGATGATTGATATTCTGCTCACATTTTTCTGTCCTAAAATATAGGGTCCTGATGTGTATTTGACTTTTGTCTCACTTTTTCACTTAACCTCACATTGATATTTTGATAAAAGCCCTAAAAAATGGAAGCCTAATGGGACAGTGTAACCCCATATCCAAATAAACATGTTAGCAGCTTTTAGCAGGCCTTGCTCCCTCCCGAAACAGAGCAAGGAAAAGGAACAGGTGGCCGAGACCCTGAACTGGCAGGGCTTCCCTCCTGCCTCAGAGCAGCCCTGTCCAGCTAGGCCCTTACAGTGACAGCCACCTGACACACTGCCTCTGTTGGTGCCGTCCGCGTCCTACGTCTCCAGCACGTTGCTCTCTGTCCTGGGATGTTCCTTAAGCCAATCTCTCTAGGTTTAATTGCATTGGATGTTCATGGATCCTCTTGTACCTGAAAAATTGTCTATGTATTTGTTGACATTTGTTCTTGTCAGTTGTCACTTTACCTTTTTAAATTGTAAGGCAAGAGACCTATTTATTTTGTCTCATATGATGCTTAGCATGGACCCTAAGAATTTGGTGTCCAATGAATGTGGTTAAAAAAAAAATCTTTTAAGAATGTTCTGCCTGGCTTGGCACCTGTGGCTCAAGCGGCTAAGGCGCCAGCCACATACACCTGAGCTGGTGGGTTTGAATCCAGCCTGGGCCTGCCAAACGATAATGATGGCTGCAACCAAAAAAAAAAAAAAAATGTTCTGCCTAAATTACTAGAGTCCAGTTAAAATTGTCCTTGGCCGGGTGTAGTGGTTCACATTTATAATCCCAGTGCTTTGAGAGACCAAGGCAGGGGCATCACTTGAGGTCAGGGACCAGCCTGGGCAACATAGTGAGACCCCTTCTCTACAAAAATCATTGCTGAGTGCAGTGGTTCATGCCTGTAATCCTAGCATTTCAGGAGGCCAAGGCTGGAGGATCACTTGAAGCCAGGAGTTCAAGACCAGTTAAGTAACTTAAGGAGACTGTTGTCTCTACAGAAATTAAAATATCAGCTGGAGGTGGTGGTACATGCCTATAGTCTCAGCTACTCAGGAGGCTGAGGCAGGCGGATTGCTTGAGCCCAGGAATTCCAGGCTGTAGTGAGTTATGATTGTGCTCTGCACTCTGGCCTAGGTGACACAGAAAGACCCTCTCTCTCTAAAAAAAAAAAAAAAAAAAAAGGGCGGTGCCTGTGGCTCAAGGAATAGGGTGCCAGCCCCATATACTGGGGTGGTGGGTTCAAGCCCAGCCCTGGCCAAAACTGCAAAAAAAAAAAGAAAAAAAATTGTCCTTTTATTTCATAATTATATCTATCTACTCAGCAAGCATTGATTTAACTATTTAATAGCAGTGCTGGGGCCAGGCACTGGGTATATATTGGTGAGTGAAGCATGTTTAGTTTCTACTCTTACTGGTCTTCTAGGCTACTTTCATACTAGAAATTATACAAATAATGACAAATACATACACAATTACAACTCGTGGTGAGTGTATGAAGGCAAATGGCAGGATGGCCTGAGAGAATGCAATGGGGGAGACCTACGTTAGCAGGTGGTGGAGGTATTCAGGGAACCTGCTTGAGGAGGTGTGGAAGCTGAGCCCCAGCGAGGGGAGCCCCAGCAAGGGGAGCAGGCAGGTCAGGAGGGAGGGGACAGGGCCAAACGGCAGTCATTCAAAGGAGAAGGTGGTGAAGACAAGACGAAAATGGAAGTCATTCATCTCTTTGTTTTAGTGCCTAGTTAAGACTGTAGTCTCTCTATGTCATGGGTCCCTATTAATTCTTTCAAAAAATTTTCTAAGAATGCTTTTAGACCTCCTCTAAAAGAGTACTTTGGGTTGTTTTTTGAGCAGGGCTTTCTGAACCTGCAGTCTTATCTTGTCTTTATTGATGTTTTTGCTGTTGCTTCTGCTGGGCAGCTGGGAAAGGTATCAGCAAGTCAGGCTTTTGACACACATCTGCTTGTTCAACAAATGAATCAAGCTTCTTCTTGGTTGCAGATGTTGTGCTGGACTCTGGGTCCCTTATGAGATCTTGACTGACCCAGGAGTGGTTCACAGAGGGAAAGAGGCCCCAAGGGAAGGGTTCGGGAGGACCCTCAGCTACCAACTGCCTCTGGGTGGCCAGGAATGGAAAGCACCCATTTTATGAGCAATTTGGTAACAAGGAAGGGAAACAGCAATGGAAATTTTCTTTACACTGTTGGGATTTGTTTCAGAAAAACATTCTGTCTCCATGTGTATAGGAATTTACTCCTCCACTCAACAAGTGTTGAGAGTCTTCTCTGTGTCTGGCGCTGTTCCAGGTGCTGGGGATATAGCAGGGAACAGCTTACATGTCAGTGGGTGAAGACAGATTGTAAAGAAATAAACAAGTAAAACATAGAGGATGGCAGAGGGGTTATCACTGACACCCAGAAAATTAAAGGAGGGAAGGATGCAATAGGGAGGTGGAGATGGGTGCTGTAATTGTTAAAAACAGTGGTCAGGGAAGGGCTTACCGAGTGACATTTGAGCAAGGACTCGTGGTACCCGGGGGAAGAGCATTCCAGGCAGAGGAAACAGAAAGTACTAAGGCCATGCGGGAGATGCCTGGGGTGTTTCCCAGGTTGACCTGGAGTATGTGGGCACAGGAGAGGGCGAAGAGAACAGGGTGAGGCCACACATCTGGGCCTTGTGCTGCCTCTGGGTAAAGGGGATGGTGCCCAAGGCTTTGGGGCACAGGGTTGAAAACTGGCTGTCAGGGTGAGGGTGGAAGGAGGCTGTGGGGGTGTGGATCCAGGTGGAGCTGGTGGGAAGAGGTCAGATTTGGGAGCTATTTTGAAGGTAGAGCTGATAAACTGGATGTGGGGCGTGTGAGAAAGAGAAAGAGCGGAAAGAAAAGATTCTGGTCCTGTTAAATTTAGGCCTGTCTTGAGCATGAGGGTACACACGTCAAAAGGCAGGGCTGTCTGTGAGAGGGAGTTGGGAGAGACCTGGGAGGGAGGGGTGTCTTCGTGAGCCACCTGTGGGACATGTGGAACTTACCTCGTGAGACTGTACAGTGATGTATGCTGATTGAGAACTCCATCGCCAGGGGTTGGGGACATGAGAGGGACTGGTGAAGGAGATGGGATAGGGGGCCAGTGGGGTGGACAGAAACCAGGACTGACGCCAGGCTGCTCTCTGGATTCCCGTGCAGGTGTGACAATGTGCGTGTATTTAAACTGGGCCTCTTCTCGGGCCTCTGGTGGACCCTTGCCCTCTTCTGCTGGATCAGTGACCGAGCCTTCTGTGAGCTGTTGTCCTCCTTCCACTTCCCCTACTTGCACTGCGTGTGGTAAGCCCCTGGTGGAGGGGGGGGCTGGGAGACAGCTTGCACTTGCTGCTGGCCCAGCTTCTCCCTGCGAGGTGCCCAGGTGTTGGGGACAGCATGCAGAACAAAAGGCCTGCTTGTGCGTCAGGCTGCAATCTCTTACCTGTAGCTCCATTAGTAAAGCTTTGAGGTGCTTGAAAACTGAATCCCTAACTGTAACCTGAGCTTTCACTAGATCTGAGACTGGGGGGAGGTAGGGAATGTGGGGGACCAATGTGACTTGAAGACTGAGATGGTCCTCAGTAGGAACTTCACCCTTGGGGCCTGAGTGACTAGGTGAAAGCAGGGGCCTCATGGGTCATTTGGGGATAGTCTCCCCTATTCTTTATACAGGTGGAGACAGAGGACCAGAGAGCTAAACAGGTTCACCTGTTTATATAAAAACAACCTTGGAGTTCAATAATAGTGAACCTTGGAGCAGTAATAGTGAATTGGAAGGCTCAGGATACATTGTTCAGTTAAAAAAAAAAAGCAGGCTGCAGAGGCTACACTCAGAAAGCTGAGGAGGAGATGGGAGCGGCTTTCTTCCTAGGAACCGCTTCAGCTCCAAACTTGGAGTGATCTGTTCCTTTTCTGTCCTCAAGGACTTCTGACCGCCAAAGCTAGTAAGAAGCAGGAGGAATTCTAGTGGTGAAGGGTGGAAACTCTTTCTTAGATCCAGATTCAGAAAAAGATCGACTTCCATCTGAAAATGACCTAAAGATATACAATTTAAAAGAATTGGCTTAAATTGTCTTATGTATATGAACTTGTGTGTTTACCACGAGACCCAACCTACTCTAAATTTAAGGTTTAGGAACTTCAAGAAGTGTTTGTAAAAGACAAACCAAAATGAAACGGTGCTAGTTGGGTTTTCAATCTTAGGATCCATTGCCTAAAATTTCTTAGGTTCAACCTCAACTCATAGTAATGAGTTTATATGCTTTATGTATCTATTTATGTAAATATTTATGTAATATTTTCCAGATAATAAAATGTACAGAATTTAAGTGTACATTTTTGAGTTTTGGTAAATGTACCTCACTCAATGTGGATTTTTTTTTTTTTTTTT